CAGGCTAGCCGAATATTTTTAAAAACGATAGGAGGCCAATGTTAATAGCTTTGCAGGGAACACTGGGTTTGCTTTTTCTGGCCCAGACACCTATTATGTACATAACACAACACATAGGAATTTAAAAAGGAATAAACAAACAGCCGAGCTTAAGCTGCAAGAAATTCAGCACATTAAAGCTTTACGAACAAATGATGTACAGGCTTTTTTATTAATCCAAGTCACAAAAACGCTCCCACAAGTCAGTGACTAACCTTCCAAATATGGGAATAAACATGATCAATTGCGTGAGCAACACTAAATACAAAAGCACCAGATAATTGACTCATGACCCACCAAACCACAGGGAAACAACTCCCCCTGGCAGCAGAATGACCTGGTGACAGCTCCTGTACCACAGGAGATCCTGTCCCCTCCCATAGGCCATTCTGACTGGAAGTAGGATTCTGAACCATGACCTTAAAGGTGAAATGCAGGAGACATCCTGCTGGGCCAAAGGCTCCCAATCTAGTCTGGATTTTGCCCTCTCTCCCCCCTCAGGAAGCTGTATTGCATGTCATGGACAAAGCGTAACCATCTATTTGTAAAGTGAGGTTTAAAGATCTGCTGAAACATTCCAGCTACACCACTTCAACTAAAAGTCTGTAACTTGAGTTTCCAGGTGCACTGAGTCATTCACAAAGCATGGTATCGTCATCACAATAAGTTATACCTTTAAGACATGCACTACAATAACATACAGTGTTATTAGAGAAATATAACGTAGGAAGAGAGAGCGGAATATAGAACTGTAATGGGGAAAGTTATGGTAAGGTATTGACTGAGCAAAGATCAGGCTACATGTTATATACAGCTACCCTATTTCTGTTACATCTGGTATTTTGGTCAAACTAAAGTGCATTAAAAAAACCCTCAACTTTATATCTCTATCTTTGGATTTTCTATAGAGGCCATCTGTGTGGTATCCAACACCGAGGGAAAATTTCAAACATGGGTGCCCAAAGCTAGACCATCTCAAAAAGAGCCTGTGGTTCAGAGATGCTGAGCACTCACTACTCCTGTTGGTGTTTGACATCTCTTAACATCAGGCTGACTTATTTAGGTGGCTACACATTAATTTACTTTAGGTACCCAATTTGAAAATGCAGCTTTATTAATTTTTTCTTTATCTTTAAAGATAACAAAAGAAAGAACAATGTTGTTGTAGCTGTGTTGGTCCCAGGATATTAGCGAGATAAGGTGGATAAGGTATTATCTTTTATTGGACCAATTTTGGTTGGTTCAAGACCAGTGTCAAGCTTATACAGAGCTCTCGCCAACAGAGATTGGTTCAATAAAAAAAATATTTCCTCACCCACCTTGTTTCTCTAAAAGGAAGAACATTTTTTGTGTGTATTGAAATGCACCATCAGGATGATTCTGAAAAGGGAAATGGTGGTTGCCCCATTATTTACGACAACAAAAACTAGATTGGGTCAAAATACTAGACATAGGAACAAGCATTTATCAGCAAGGATGGAGATGAGCTAATAGGTCTATCCCGTCTCTAATTGCTATGATCTTGAAAGTGAAAAAGGACTCTGGCTGGGGACTTTGGTGGGAAAAAAGGTATAAGAAAAAAAATCCAGAACATGGGCTCTATCATCTATTTTATCAAAGATCAAACATCATGTGAACATTCCCATGGATATAGTGGCAGCATGTGATAAGCAACTCTTTGCTTGCAGTTGACATTCATAACACAGAAAATCCATCTGGAGAGTTTTCTTCTAAATGAGCCCAGTGGTTAATATAGCATTTTATCAAAGCTTTACTTTTCTCATATAAACATTTCAGATTATTTACATAGTGCGAGCCTACTAAACGTTGTGAAAGGCTGCTAATGTGTGCTGGATGCATATTAGAGATGCAAATGCCATAAAACATATGCACACAGCCCCTTATGCCCTTCACACCAGATCCTTGGCTCAACTTCTTGAACCAGCTGTTGAATCCCATGATATAGGGGAGTCCCTGGGTGGCATAAAACCCACATGGCTGATTCTACACTGTGTTCTCATGGCTTGGTTTAGGAAATAGGGCCAGAGCATGCTGGCATATTGGCTATTTGTGGCTATTACAAGTTGGCGAAAGTTTGCCCAGCTCTTAGCCTGCTCTAATGTAGCCAAAGGCCAATTTGGCCTTAAGCCAGCTCCACAATCAAGTGAGATAGAAAGGCAGTTTAAAGCCACCTTTGTTTTGCTCACCATGAGCTGCACCGATTGAGTCTTTGATTTCTAACAAAAATCTGAGTTTTTTCCAACTGGGTTGCACAAAACTCAGGGAGAAAAACTAGTCTTGTTAAAGCATCAGACAGAGCCAGGAGTTTCAATTCCTGATTTAGCTACAGGAATGGACACACACAACCCACCAACCCTGTTGTATCTCAATTTCCCAACATGAAAAATGAAGATGAAAATGCTTAACCAACTTTGCAAAGCACTTTCAGATCTAAGAGGATTAAACCTTATCCTTATTAAATATACCTTCTTCAGATGTAATATTTGGTTAATTGATGTTTGTAAATCCTTTTAAGAACCTTGGTTAGGTATTACAGAGGTGAAAGGTTGTTTTTATAATGACTGTGGGTCATCTAAGCATCAATCAAAGTTTCCTGTTCTGGAACAACTCTAGAGCATGTGCCTAACTTTAAGCATGTGCTTAAATCCCTTTGAAAAGGATAGGACTTAAATAATTGCTCAGTTGTTTTCATAAATTGGGTTGGATGTAATCATATATGTAAGTGCTTTTCTGAAGTGGACCCCTAATGAGGTAAGGAATACAACTTCTTGCAAAAGAGAGTCAAAGATAAAACAATTAGGGCAAGAATTACAATATTTCTGGAGTGATTAATATACATCTTCCAAGCCGTGCATAGTAGAGTTTTCAGTTTAGCCACCTGTGTTTATTAGTGTTCTTTGGCCATTCTCCAGACATACCAGCAGGCCTGCTGATGAGAATACAATATAATTTTTCAAGTATGTGGTATTGATGGATGTCAAAGATAGTGTTTTAAACCACTATAACTTTACCTAAGGCTTTAAGCCTGGGGCATGAGACGTGCTAGATATATAAATACATTTGTTATGTGCTCATGCTCAGTGGTGAAGTTCACTTTGCCATGCTTCAGAGGGTCCTGTGGCACCCTTGAGACTAACAGAAGTACTGGGAGCATAAGCTTTCGTGGGTCAGAACCTCACTTCTTCAGATGCAAGTCATCTTGCATCTGAAGAAGT